GGGAGAGGGAGAGGGAGAGGGAGAGGGAGAGAGAGGGAGAGGATAGAACAAGGTGGAAGGAAGGATCGCGTGCTATCCGTGGCCTGTTTGTGAGGGTACTGTTCAGGCATACACCTAGTGCTGATCGGAGAAACTACGGAAAACTTCCGAGTAGTGCAGCCGGCCGATAGAATTCTCCTTCAGGGAGCGGATGAATCCGAACAAGCTATTGTAGCTAGTGCCGAAAATCTAACCACCGTCGGGACTCCAATCCTTGAACCTCCCTGTCAGTCATTGCATTATGTCAGTTGATGCTCTGAACCACCTAAGCCGGTCTGTACTCATAATTCAATGTAAGTATATGAGTTAGTACATCTCAGAGCTCGTATGACCGTGCATATATTGCACTTCCTCCCTTACTACGCCATACAGTTAACAGTTTTTGGTGTTAAATAAATGAATTAATTAAAAAAGTCGAGGGCAGAACCTGCGGTGGGAAGCAGAAGGAAGCACAAGGAGCGGAGCGTGGCAGGCATGCGGGCGAAACGAGGCGAGGCGGAATTGGTTGGCTTCGATGCAAGCCTTAAGTCTAGCATTGATACTACTCACTATAAATCATCGTTTCTGGGTAGGTAGTCAATAATGTGGATAGTGTACTAGAATGCATTGGTGATATTGGCTGTAGAAAAAAGTAAAATTCACACAGCAGTCAAAACAACTGTTTACTCACACATAATTAAAAATACACAGTAAAAGGTGAGAGGAGATACTGGACCGTTACAAACTATACATTGACTTATTGATTAAAACACCGAAATAATTGAAACACCTCGCACACTTCATATCATTGCAACATCCAACTCAATCCATTTGGGATTTAATATGGAACTTATTTCCCAACTGACATATAGCCAATGACATTTTTCGTCTAGGACCAAGACACCTGTAAATAATAACATTCGATTAATAGGGCATGATAGGCAAATAACAAAAAGTTCAGGTAGAATTCAATAATGTCCAAAAACTTAAACCTGATAATACAGTATGATAAAATGACATCTTGAGCAGCTTTGGAGAGTTACTGAAACGTTAGAAAGGCGGGATTGTGTTTTTAGGCGTTCATACACAAACAAAAATATGAATTTAGAGAATTTTTCAATGTAACAACATTAGTCAACTCTTATATAATAAGAGTGAGGAAAATTAAGTTATAAATACTTGAGGGCATTAATACATATCTTTTACCGCTATAAAAAAGAAAGAGAACAAATTTAGTTAATAAAATATCAGAGGTTCTTTACATATACTGAAATTGTCTTGCAGAGGCAACACGCTTGAGAGAATCTTTTAGTTTCATGTTCAAAAGTAAAGGTTCAAAAATTCGTACATTGTAATTATGCACTTTTCTTTTTGGCAGAGCACAAAGAAACATAAGAGAGGAACACACGAAGCTTCTCGATAGCAATGTAGATAATCTCTTCCATTTTCGTTGTTTTCTTCCCCTTGTATGTATTAAAGTATAGAAAAATAATCGGTACTGCTTCAATTTGCATCAAATGCAGTGAGGTTTCGAAATTGCCATAAAAAATAATGCAAAAGTACAATAATGATGGAGATTGTTTCATAAATCAAATCTGTTCTAAAAATATATCTATAATTAAGGTACAAATCATAAACATTTTTTTGAAATAACGTGTTGTTTGTTCGTAATTTCTTTTTGAAGTGGATGCAATTTATTCAAATAAATTCTCAAAAAGAGCTCAATTTTTCACTGTAATAGAGTACAAGGCGCTTAAAAAATGCTACGGTCAAATTTAACGTTTAACCTATTCTGATAAATTGCTGCAAAATCACTCAATTTAAAAAAAATGATATTAAAATACTGCAAAAGTTAAAATTGTTTTCGGCGTCTTCCTATAACTACAATATTGAAGAAAGATTTTTTTATGAAATATGTTCTTCTAAGTCTTTAAATAATTTCGGGAACAAAGTTACAAAAACATGAGTAATTTCCATGTAATATTGCGTGAAATAGGCAATTAAAAAAAACATTTTCTCAAATTCTGCTTCAAATTTTACTTTTGTTTTCACGAATAGAGCAAAGGATATTAACAAAAGCGGCACAGTTTGCAATTGTGGTAGTCTCTTTCTAATTTCAAAAACAGCAAAGTTTTAAACATTTTCGGGGTCTTCCTCTGTCTACAATATGGAAGGTAGATATTTTTCTTTCAGAATTATTATTTTTTCTTAATAAATCTTTGTAATACTAGATTTTGGAATAATGTCAATAAAAATAAAAACATACATGTTCAAATTTGTTTTTAACGCACAACATAAAAATTTTGTTTACCTCATAGTATAGTGTACAGGTAAGTTGAATTGCGTGCAAAACCTAACAACATGAGTTCGAATCGCTACTAGAGCAACAACAGCAAACATTTCCCTCACTATTTGTAATAGCTACAAAATAGTATAATACTACATGAATCTGCACTAAGTTTTGCCGAAAATGGAAGTTTTTTTGGTATAATCGTCTTTAAATTTAAGGGGGGATTAAAGACAAAATTTGCAGTTTTTTGTGAGAATTTTTAAAAATAAATTGTGCTTACTTCAAGCAAAACTTACCCGAATACTATTTGTTGATTCAAAGGCTTTTACACGACATAATATAAAGATTATTTTTTAATTATATATTAGAAATATATATATAGGTCGCGCCGAAAATTGATCCAGTATCAATTCTTTACCGCTCATTGCCACACACAAGGAAAAAGTTTAAAGAAAAAAATGGTTGTTTTTGAGGAAATGTGTGTTTGAAAATTGCCTATAAATAACGCAAAATGTCGAGAAAACTACTCAACTTCTCAAAAAACTGTACGCGCCTATTTTAAGATGTCTTTCAAGAACAAATATTAAAACGAAAACTATCCGCCTTTGATGTAAAATTGTAGGAAGACACTTTCCGAAGTTTCTTGAATTCAAGAAACGTGGACTTTACCAAGTTTCAAAAATTCAGAGATTTTAACGAAAAAAAGGCCATTTTTACTTTCCCGTATACGTGCGTATATACGAAGTATTATACTCAGTATACGGAAAGTGTAATGCTGCGGAAAATTGATTTTGAGATTTCAATGGAAATACACGTTTTCAGGTCCCCTGGTACCGGACAAGTGTTTGTTCAAATTGTCCGTCCGCTTGTGCGTCAGCCTATGATCATCACTAGCGCCTAAACCATACGTAGGATATTTTCCAAATTAAAGAAATATTTGCTGATGATCAAATTATAATCCAAGAAAGTGAGGATGACTTGCAGAGTCTATCCATCAATTAAACCAAACATGCAAAGGATATAATCTAAAGGTCAAAAAAACGAAGACCAAAACAATGGCATTTTTGGGGAAGTATCCTATACGTACCAACATAATTTTGGAAAATACGATGCTGGAACAAATTAGACATTTTAAATATTTGGGCTACAACATAACGTTCCTCGCAGAAATGTATATAGATGAAAAAATCATAAATACCAGAATATATGCGGAAACATTTAAAGATAAAAAACGCAGAGATACTGTGATGAGGATATTTGAATAATGGCTGTCCTGTTCCTGTTGTTCGGAAGTGAATGCTGGACTATAAGGGAGAAAGATAAAGAGGCGTTACAGTCTGCTGAAATTAAATTCTTGAGATCTGTAAAAAATGTGCCAGACTAGATAAACTCAGAAATGAGGAAATGCGAAAAGAACTAAACGTCCAAGCAATCAATGACAAGGTACAATGTTACAGGCAGGAATGGTTACAACATGTGGAAAGAGTGGAAGAGACTCGCATTCCAAAGCACGTGTTTAAAAATAGGCCTCAACGCAGAAGAGATCTATGTAGACCCCTAAAAAGATAGAATTCTTAGAAGCCGGAACAGATCATAGTCCTATCCTTGAAGAGGAGAGAGAAAGAGAGACCAGGCAAAAGAGAGAGACCAGGCAAAAGAGAGAGACCAGGCAAAAGAGAGAGACCAGGCAAAAGAGAAAGACCAGGCAAAAGAGAAAGACCAGGCAAAAGAGAAAGACCAGGCAAAAATCTGTTTCCACTTACACCAATGGATTATTAATTGCACGATTATTAATTGCAATTAATACGATTATTAATTTTGTTCAGAGTTATCTCTTCATTCTCTACGAAAGTGATGAAGTCTACAACTCTCTTTGTTGGAGGTCTGTAGATGCTCAGCAAGGCAATTTTGAGCGTAGGACGTATGATATTTCAGAAACATTTCAAATGCATATAAATTGAATTCTGACACGAAGGAAGAATCAATATAATTTCTTAGTGACTACACGACCTTCCATTTGCTGATCGCATTTTTCACTCTTTTGCTCCACTACAGGTCCCTGCAAGATATATACTAGGAATTTGAAGAGTGTTTAATGAGATAACAAATATTCAGTAAATAAAAGCATCTATTTGACGTAGATCGCATTGTGAATATAGGCTCAATAAATTCAATAGTTCTTGAATTCAATAGTTGGTAAGATGCTTCAATGCTTTATGCAGGAATGTTCATCTTGAGTATCACGCCACTATTTTGGCTGACTTTGTTTCGTAACAAGGAACACAATGACACTTATACAGAACGAAAGACGAGACCTTATGCAATGAAGACGTCCGATAAACTTGAGCTCCGCAATATATCACTTGACAGCTGCGATCTGCAACATAGTTAATACATTCACGCGTTTTGTCGACGCACAATGGGGAATTTTGCCGATTTGGGTGGTCAAATTCCAAATTTCACTATATACATAAAAATACCACGTCACAAAACTAAAAGGTTGTGATTGGCGAATGAAGCTGCACCAATTTTATTGCCGCGCCATCTTGAGACCGAGATCGGTCTGAACTTGATCTACCCTTTAAGTGAACGTGTTCGTTATTGACTCTCCCGTGCAGGCTTCTTTCACCAAGTGAATTAAATGTATTCGGTTCAGTTTGACTAGAGTTATAGAGATTGATGAATGTGTATATACATTGTGTGTACTTTCAAAGAAATTTAAATATGTTAGCGGAGATAAAACTTAACTCAAAATCTATTTCATTTTTTCTTAAGCAGTAATTTTAACTGATGCAAGTATTTTAGTACACATTAGTATTCTCTGTGACAATTCTCGGTGACAATTCTCGGTGACAATTCTCGCTGACAATTCTCGCTGACAATTCTCGCTGACAATTCTCGCTGACAATTCTCGCTGA